CACTGTCCACTTGAAGAGGATTATTGAAACTAACCCTGAGTTGTAACATCTTCCACAAACGTCAAAAGTCTGTCAAACTCCACACAGTATACCGGTAAAAGCAACTTAATAAACTTAATGCAACTTAGCCTTAGGCATTATTATCTGTGCTACACATCTTTTCTTACGTAGCGTTTCCATTATTTTTGTCATTATGTTTTTTTTTATGTGACAGGAGGCAAACGAGCAGACAGTCTTTTAACTTTTCTTGATCTTTGTCAATCAATGGCAAAACACCACGCAACTTTCCCAGCAACAGCCTTAAAGGATCTTAATAATGCACTTATAAACATGTAAGATACTACGACATCATCAAGGTATACATCCAGTACTCCTGCTATAAAGTCTCATTTGCAAATACTCTCAAAATTGCAAGGTTCAAAAGTTGCTCAAAGTCCGAGACAGAACCAAAATAACCACAAATCTCAGAGCAGGCGTCGATTAAGTTTGCACTCCATCAAAGGCGAGGTGTAGATCAGATCTGCTGTCCACCGCACTGCTGAGATCAAGCGGACGCGGACTAGCCCCCGGCGATACACCCTTTGTGAAAAGATTCCCAAAGCGAGTGCGAGGGTACTTTGATGTCGAGCCCGGCAGGTAATTTGGAAAAACGTTATTTAATTAACTTTCGACAAGTCGGCGTAATCGTGTTACAAAGCCGCCGGGTGAACGGTCAAGTCTTTGAGGCGGGCAACTTGATTTTTACGCCAAACATGGCCGCTATAAAGCGCTGTCATTTTCAGGTGCTTTCCAATTAACATCCGCCTTTGACCACGGCCGACAAACGACTAGCGCCTCTTTGTTATTATAGTTAACTGTTTAGTTTTTAGGGTGCTGTAACGGACACCCGCTTTGTGCTGCGTTTGTAATGTCATTCCGAATATTAAGGTTAAAGTGCGCTATTTTTGACGTTACGAGTTCCGACATAACGTTATTCTCTGTGTTGTTAGATTTGCAAGTGGCGGCATTAATTTGCTTTATTGCAGTTTTTTCTGCATGCGCATGGCTCAAATAAAAAGTTTAAAATATGTTGCGGAAGTCAGAGTTCCAACACTGAATGTATTCCAGATGGAAGCACCCGAGCTGTATATTTGTGTAGTTTAAAATTATGTTCATATTATCTAAGTTTGACTATAAAAACTTAGTCATTATTAGCGACGATTTCTTCCTTAAATGAGAACGTTTTGCAAATATTTAAAGTGTGTACAAAAAGCGATTACAGCAACACGAAGCGCCTACAATGTCCAAGCAATAAATTAGCGTTCCATTAGCAGTGGACAATAGTTTTATGAGTTGCCGAAATAAGTTTGCGGGCGTTTAAACTTCGGAGCTGTTAGCGCGTTTCGCCGCGAGCGCGTCCAGCGCCCGCGGCGCTCAGACCGGCAATTAACTCGACGAACTACCCCCAACAAGACAACTACAATTATAAATTTGCTTTAAAGCGTTAATAAACATCATTACCGCTGTTTGCGGGAGTTTATCAAACAATAAGGATAGTTCTGTTTCAAATCTCGTCGCTGCAAGTCGTTCCGTGCGAGCGACTCCATATTCGTATAAACAAAGCGGCCTGTGATGTTCATTGGGCAGCTTAATTGCATTTCTTCGGCTCCTCTTTGCGGCACTCACGGTCACTCGCATCTCATGATCGAGTTAACTCTTTAAACGAACGCTTGAAGCTGCGCTGTGGCCACAGCCGGTAGCACGGTTGTTGTTGATCAAAATGCAGTTAAGTTTGGAACGTCGGAACCATTTATTTACTTTATTACATGAGAGCTTATTTTGTTACTTTAAAAGGCACATATATTATTTCAGAAAATGTTTTGAGACCGCTGTAAAATTACAATAAAATTTTACCAGTCACAAAAACAAAAGGTATAAAACTGCCATCCATTCCATATTTGTCTCCTAGTTATAGTTAAGTGTGCGCACGGTAATCCCGCTGTGAGCAGAGAGCACAAATGGAGCGAGCACCTCCCATCATCCCTCTGTTTCGCTTATGATTCGTGAATTTTTAACTTCCCTGAAAGGACTTGCAGTCCAAGCTAATAGTAATTTACAAATGTATTCTCCTCAAAAGCTTAGGCACTAGTTTATATGCTAATGGAACTGCATAATTGAATATCTTTTCAATATTTGCTTGAATTTTTAACGCTCGAATTAGATTTTTAGCAAAGCCTCGGATTTGGCAGTCAATAAAGCTTTAAAACAAAACGAAACGAACCATATTCGGGTGTTTTAGCTAAACTGTGTTTTTGAATTAAATATTTTACGGTTTTGTATCCATTCATTGCTTATGTTACAAAAACAGTAAGTGCGTGCTCCATACCTTATCTATAAATATTCTTACATTTTAACTAGTAAATAGGTAGGTACTTCTAAATTTGGGCGTATTGATAAGAAAACCGTTAATGAGTAACAAGTTCGTAATTAGAATTGCTAAAGTCACGACCGTGTAGTTATTTAACGAAATAGATAGACACAACCCTAATTCAATTTTAATTCTAAGTAAAGAGAACTGTCAGAAACATGATTTTTGTTTCTTAATCATACTTATTAGGTACAAAAAGTGTAGAAGTGTATAGCTAGATGTTGTCCTTTCGCAAATGTTCTATTAGGTATACATATATAATACACTAGCTTTCCGCCCGCGGCTTCGCCCGCGTGGAATTTTGTCTGTCACAGAAAAACTTTATCGCGCGCGTCCCTGTTTCAAAAACCGGGATAAAAACTATCCTATGTTCTTTCCCGGGACTCAAACTATCTCTATGCCAAATTTCATCAAAATCGGTTGCGAGGTTTAAGCGGGAAAGCGTAACAGACAGACAGACAGACAGACAGACAGACAGACAGACAGACTTACTTTCGCATTTATAATATTAGTTGGGATAATATCCTATTGTCAAAACCGTGCTAAATGGAGTCGCGTGTGTTATTTTAAGAGCTGTTTCGTAAGTGTTTGCTTCGTCGAAATAATTGAGGAAGTACACTTTTCTTCCAGCCAAGGTTTCGTTGAAACATAGTGTACAGTATAGGTCGCACGTTTTACGAGTTACGAGGTACGTTTCAGTTTTATCGCCGTGTCGTAGACAATAGCAAATTACGCACTTTGACGCTCAAACGCAGAGTTAATTAAGCCGTATCGGACTACGAAATTACTTTTTATCTAATACACTGGAAATGTAAAGTGAGGTTACGGTGCTTAACGACAGATGGCAGGAACGTGTATAAATAGTACTAGGTAATTGGTATAAAATTGTTTGCTGTAACCAACTGAGAGCACATGAAAAGGTTTATTTTGTGACATAATCCTCTGCTAAGAAATATATTTGAGATTTCTTGTTTCATAAGAGCTTTACACCGTGAAAAGAGATCCTTTTAATAAATGTGTAGACTTATGAAACTACTTAATGTGATACTTTGCTATTAAATACGATTACACACGTGCAATGCTGTGGGTAGCAGTTAGTGATATTCTTAAAAAAAGTCTGATAAAGTTTCCTTTGCGCTAGACACTTGTCTCTAGAATTCATAGCTTTTCATACTCTACATTAGGTAGTATAGAAATCGACACTTAAGCTGGGTTGCACCATCTTACTTTAACTTTGACAATAAAAGTCAAAAATCTGTCAAACTCCATACAACATACACCCGTTATCGTTATAGTTACTGTTAAAGTTAGGTGGTGCAACTCAGTCTTTAAATTCGGCACAATTAAAAAGGAATAAGGAAATCATAGTTAAGAGCCCAACTCGACCAAATTAATTGAAATCTATTCATTAAAGGCTTAAAAATAATTAACACTTCCCATCGATTAAGAACACGTCACGAAGTGTCCGTTTTAATTATAATAACGTGCGTAATTGAGGGCGGGCGCGCCCACGCGCCTTTGTTATCTAAGAGGTTATACATCGAAAAGTGTATTATCGATTTAATCGATCGGAATCGATTAAGTCGTGTGTGGTTGCCTGCGAGCTGGGCGATTACTTTGTCGAGGTTATCACAATTATTACGAACCGGTACGGTGTAATTAATTAGAGATAACATTACCACGTCTTTTTTCCTATTAATGGGTTGTGTTAAGAATATACAGGTATTTAACCTCGCATAACTTAAGGTTATTTTGTTTTGTTGTTGTAATATCGGTGTGACTGTGAAACATTGACAAAATAAAACCACATAAAACATTTAAACTGGCTCAGAGCTTTCTTTCTTTCTTCTTTCTAAAGTTAGCAGTTTCTCTTATTGTTTGGAGGATGAAAGACTTTTATGACTCTGCTGCTTTTACGCCCCTATTTGTCTTGGTATAACGGGAAATACTATTAAATTCTATTGTATCTTATATGTAATAAATAAGAGGCTGACAAAGGTGAGTGAGTTTCTTTCGCTACTTCTTCTCAGCACCAGCCGACACTTTGTTCCCAAGTGGTGATAGAGCAAGCTATGGGACGTGTATCAGTTTCTGAAAAGGGCCTACACACTAATAAAGAAAGAATAGCACCAGCCGATATATTGACCCACGGTGGTGGTAGGGCAAGCTTTATTGAGAAGAGTACGCCCTTATCATAAGATCTACCTATGTTTAATTTTTAAGTCAAATACCTTGTTTTTTATTTTAAGTGAAATGTACAATTTCTTTTGAGAAATAAATTCTTAAACTTTAGTATAAGTGCAGGGCAGGGCATATAGTACATGGCCGATGGGGCAGCAAGGTTCTGGAGTGGAGGCCGCGTAGCGTAAAATGCAGCGTGGGACGTCCACAAGGTGGACCGACGACATCAGAAAGGTAGCAGGAAAGCGCTGTACGCAGCTGCGCAGGCCGCTACCAACCGGGCAACATGGAAAGCATTGGGGGAGGCCTATTTTCAGCAGTGGACGTCCTATGGCTGAGATGATGATGATGATGAGTATAAGTGCACTCAAAAGGGCCTACGTTTGTATTTGAAGGGTAAATTCGTACATACCTCCTCGTAGTCCCTATGCGAGTGGTGCGCGGGCACAGGGCCCGGCGGCGCTCATTCTCGCGAGCGGCGCGGGCGGCCGACCTTGCCCTTGCGCACCGGCGCCGCGGGCCCGCTGCCGGCGTTCGCGCTCTTCATCAGCTTCTGCCAGTCCTGCTCGCAGACGAGGGAACCCGCGAGCATGTAATACCTGTGGGGTAGTTGAGTTGTTTAAGCTGATGACTTAAACAATGGGTTTGGATCTGGTGGTTTTTTATTTTATGCAGGACAAGGCAGGTATTTGACCGCAATCGTATCTGGTGTTAAGTAAGATGCAGTCTAGGATGGTACATAAATGTTGCTTTGTTCTTGATAATGTGAAGACTGACATCATCATATCAGCTACAGTACGCTACTGCTGAACGTAGGCCTTCCCCCAATGATTTCTACAAGTCTAGTGAAAAATCTGACATAGGTACTTAGTTCTACCAGCGCAGCGCTTTAAACGTAAATCAAATGTCTCTTTAAAGCATGTATGACATTGTATTTACTTTCTTGTAAAATTCTAGAAAAGTAGGCGCAAATTATTGAGATTTAATCGAGTTTCGAGCTACGTATGTCTCAATAAAACCTTGATGGTAGACTCTACATCAAAACCCGTCTACATTGTAGTGCACACGTCTCAAATCTTAAAGATGGTAGTAACTTTAAAATGCTTAACTCTTAATGAATTATCGTGTGTAAAAGGTAAAGGTAGATGAAGGTTCCAGGAAGAGCCTGGATTCAAGCAGCGCAACACCAGTCGTTGTGGAAATCCTTGACCTTCTTCCAGCATTGAACATCTTCAGATTAAAAAGAAAATAATAAAGTGCACACCTATCGCCCTGCATTAGGTGTGAGCCGCACTTGGAGCACGCGAAGCATTTTATGTGGAAGACGTGTAAGGGCTGCTGCGGAGCATTCGTCCGCATCACGAACTCGCTCGCGGGGATGGCCTGCCCGCACGCTGCGCACGCGCCGCCTGAACCGAACATTCTGGAACAATAGAGAGGAGATGTTAGGGATTGAGTTGTGAAAGTGAAGGTTCGATGTATTATGTAGTAGTATTGACACAGAAAATAGATCTTATAATTTTGCAAGTAAGATGAGATAAAAATTGATTGACGAAGAGACTGAATTGCAAGATATATTTTGCAAGATATTTCACTTTGCTATAAATGCTTTAGCAATGTTGGCTGACCTTATCCCCCTTATTACAAAAAGTTAAACTCTAGTTGAACTCTAGTTTAAAATGACATTTTAACCAGTGGTCATCCAGGGTTTAACTTTTTGTAATAAGGCGCTATTTGTTCGTAATATTGCTGAACTTTGATGGTGCTGATTGGTTGAGGTAGCGTAGAATAATGAGATGGAATGTTAACTTCAATCTGATACATTTTTATGTCAATTGTATGGCAAACTTTTAATTAAAATCTCCGCAAGACTTGTTGTTGTGATCTATGATGACTGCAAAAAAGTCTACTGTGTTGCATAAGACATACCTAAATTAATGATTGTATGTGTATGAATTATTGAATTAAAATTATGGATAAAATGTAGGTATGAATAAAACAGAATAAAACGACTTTTTTCAAGCTGTCAAAGTGAAGTAGTGATTTTATTTTGTTTTGTAAGAAAAAGTAAAAAAACATTAAAAACTCTTTTGTTGGTTCTCAACATACTGTTCTAAAGTTATTTTAAATCTTATCTTAGTTTAAAGGTAGACTAAGAGCTAGTGAACGCCAGACCTACGTCATTTTATAAAAGCTGAAAGTTTGTCAGCGTATGCTCCCAATATAGGATATAATGTTGGTGAATTATGAAGTTTGGGTCGTGGTGGCTTTGGGAGCTACCCTAAAAAAACTGTCTGGCAAGGAGTTGGAACTGTCAAAACTGTCTGGCTGTTAGGGAAAATACTTCTAATTATTGCCCCAATATTATACATAAAAATCAGAATTTTTATTATAACGTAAGTCTAACTTTTACGGTGGCTTTTTCTGTATATTCAAAAGACTGTAATTCTACTAACGTTATACCATTAAATCTGATTTTTATGTTTAATATTTGGACAATAATTAGAAGTATTTTCCCTAACAGCCAGACAGTTTTGACAGTTCCAACTCCTTGAAAGACAGTTTTTTTAGGGTAGCTCCCAAAGCCACCACGACCCAAACTTCATAATTCACCAACATTATATTCTATATTGGGAGCATACGCTGACAAACTTTCAGCTTTTATAAAATGACGTAGGTTTGGCGTTCACTAGCTCTTAGTCTAAGGTGTAAACCGTGAAATTCTTGCTATAAATCAAGTGCGTTGTTTTGTGCAAATAAAACTTCACTATTTAAACAAAAACTTCTCCAACATTTATCATCTTTACGTCCATCTAAACAAGACATTTCCTAAGAAATCCATTTTGTAATGCAGTAATTGTATTGACCTATGATATTATCTTAAAAGCGCATTAACATTTATAATCCTGCAGTCTGTAAAACGTGCGATGGCCTCGTTAGTAGTGATAGATGGTTAATAAAACAAAGACGTTCATAAATCACCGAATAGCATTTACGTTATTCACCCACCAGGGTCTACCACAGTGGGGGAACGTACAGCGGCTTTATTTCGAGAGTGGTAAGGTCGACTTTTTGTGCTTTTCCGCGAGTTTTATAAGCGATACCAAATCTAACCGCGGTGTTCATATTTCCTTGTCGAGTTGCCAGTGGGGAGGTTTTAGGCAAGTGGGGTATGTGAAAATAACTTTTGCAAAAGTCAATAAGCCGTTTCAGAACTTGTCTCGGATTTCTTGAAGGCCGTTTGAACCTTAGACAGTTGAGGTAAGATTTCAGTCTGTTTCAGAAAACTTTTGCGTAACCTTATAGCAGTCAGCAGTAATTAGTAGATGTGAGAACCATAGTTATCATAAAATATATCAGTTAAAATTACTGAAAACAGATGAGAAAGTTGAAACATTTAGGCTGAGTTGCACTATCTTACTTTAACGTTGAAAAACGTAAAAAATCTGTAAAACTCCATACAAAAAGCACCGGTTATTGTCAAAGTTAAGGTCAAAGTTGATGAAACTCAGCCTTTTTTCTTTTTGCCTACATCAGCTTACAATTTAGTAGAAGCATGGATTCTGCATCTACCTCTATTGTGACATTTATTATTCGCTAGAGTTTATCGTCCTTATTTACGTGTTTAATTGCCCATTATATCATTATCGTGGATGATTATATCAGAGAAAATGACAATTTAATCGTACAGATAAAGTTAATCTGATGTTTATCAATATTAAGCTGTTTCTATTGTGACAGGTTGGACCTAAAATAGTAAAGCGCAATGAAATTGTATTTATTTTCTTTTTTTTCATTTTTCAGCCAAATGACGTCCACTGCTGGACAAAGGCCTCCCCCAAGGTTTTCCAAGGTCGCGGGAAGAGCCTGGATGCGGGCAGCGCAGGACCGTCCATTGTGGAAATTGTATTTATTCAGCTGTTATTATGAAAAGGAATATAAATTATTTTAAAATAAACAAGATAAGTACCACTAGGTGGACAGATGACCTTATCAAGATTAAAGGAAGGTGCTAGATACGATGCTACCAACCAAATAATCTGCAAATCATTAGAAGAGGCCAATGCTCAGCAATGGATATTTATATTGCTGAAAGGATGATGATGATGATGATGATGATGATGATGATGATGATGATGAAGTACAGAAATATCCCAAACGTACTGTACCTATAAATACTAAATTAACCAATCAATCAATAGGGGGAACGAAGTTACACAACTTAATAGGTTTCTAATCGTGTAGAACAATTTAATATCATTCATGAAATGTGACGCTCTATGTTTATAATGTATCACTTCAAATTGAACTAATATTAGAAGCACATGTATACATTCGACAATTTATGGATCTTATTCCAAAAGACATAGAGACGCTGATCGTACTATTTAATTGAAAAGTTATCTACACAGAAAAAAGGGTAACAACTGCGGTTTAAGTTAAAGAAAATTCTTTTTGAATACTTACAATAGCGTAGGTAGGTAACTGTTTAAAGTTAGGTTTATTATTTTAAACATTATTACTAATAGTTTGTTTGGAGCCTGGAGGTCACATTTTTTCAATTGATACTGTTCTTTCTCCAATTAAAAATGAATGATGATGATGTTTACATTAGTAGTTTTTCATTTGTTAAATCTATTAGACGCCGAAGCACAGATACGCCGAAGTGTACGTGTGAACGCTGTAAAGTTTGTTAAACATTTATCCATATCACGTCCGCTGCAATATTTATGTGTTCGCCGTGTAAGAGAAATTTTACGAAATAAAAATCGGTACGTGGTTAGTTTCGTTGCGATTTATTTCAGCAGTAAATAAGGTTTTAGATTTTAAAGGCTATTCTCATGTTTCCTATTAGTAAAGGTAAGTGAATGCTCTGAAATATGAGTCGTACTAAAACTATTTCAGTTTTATCTCTTTTGTCAAAACGGTATCAAAATACATTACTGGAATGGGGATTTTGTATGAGTTTATTTTATTTAATATTTGTTTTATCTCAATACTCAATTCTTTATTGCATTTATCTCTTTCATGATGTATGAGTAAGTTTTTTTTTCATTTGTTAGTAATTAGTTTGACGTAATCTGCCCTGAAGTGTGTGATCCTTTACAGCTGGAGGCTTAATCGCTTTCAATACTTAATGACTCATTATCACAATCGCTCAGTCCGACCGCCATAACTTACATTACAACCACAACAATATTAATAAATCGCAATAACAATCCGACCGAAGGCAATCAAAATTTAATTACCTGTACTTCTTCGTTTCAAATAATTTAATGGCGAACATTCGGAGCGGGTTAAAGATAAATTTGAAAGTCTTAAAAGATAAATTCGCTTCAATCACTCGGAGCAAATAGGATTGCGTTTCATTTACTCCGGTAAGAGCGTTTTCAATTAAGGTTTCCGACAAACAGTATCGGCGTATGAAGGTAAAATTAATTAAACCACGCCAAGACAAACATACACGAATCTATTTGTGTTGGACTACCAGCAGCATCACTACAAGGTATTAAGATAAAAACAAATTTCTGCGAACTGATGTAGATTTGAAACGTGAATTGGATATTGGAAGTTTGTCTTGTTTTTACTGCAGTGCATATATTGAGTGTTTCATTTTGAGACTTATGAAAAAATAACCTGCAGAGTGATAGTTTGATATTGGTATCCCCCATGGGCTTAAAACGTTTGTTTTAAGCATTTCATTAACTCACGAAGTCTATCTTATTGGAGTGATGTCTATTACCACATTAAAGCATGCATACTTTACTTAAGTCTGTTAAAAGAAATTAATAATTAAAATAAATAAATAGAAACACATAAATCATAATCCACAATGCTCATTTATTGAGTTAGGATTTATTAATCCTAACTCAATAAATGAGCACTGCACTGGGCGGTATACAGGGTGTTCCAACTTGATTACGCTTGATTAAGCTCGTTACAACGATTGTGGTGCTTAAAGCGAGTAGGACCTTGACATTATATGCCTACCTGTAATTTCATACTAGATCGGGCTAAGTAGATTGGACTTGCATCTAAGATTTAGGTTGGTTTTACATAAATAAATATTCTTCATAGTAAATAACCTTTTGTATGGGTAGTATTTTGACATTAAAATTCTTAGTCCGTACTCTACCTCCTTTCAAGTATCTAAAAAGCATGTTTATTACGAAAAAAGTTGGAAAATAATGTCAAAATATTTACCCAATGACATGGCAGGTGAAACTCACGCACGCTTGTTTTATAAGAAAATACAACACCAAGATTCATCATCATCATCATCATGTCAGCCACAGAACGTCCACTGCTGAACATAGGCCTCCCCCAATGCTTTCCACATTGATCGATTGGTAGCGGCCTGCATCCAGCGCCTCCCCGCCACCTTCACGATGTCGTCGGTCCACCTTGTAGGTGGACGTCCCA